AGAGAGACTGAAGTATCTCTGAAGGAGTCTACAGTGGATAACTAGGTTGATTGATATACAGTACCTGGATTACAAAGAACAATTGAGAAGTTTGTAATAGTTTTCATTTGAAACATTTAGACTGCTGAAAGTTTTAAATTTTTATAAGCATAGGTTTTGATGTTTAAAACTTGAGGGGAAAAAATCCCTTTATCTTTGTTTAAAAGTTATTAAACATTATTGCTAATTGTACTTGTGCAGTATTAACAGCTATATTACCCAGTAAATGTGGAGTGAAGTCCACTTAGAAAATGTTAAACTGCTTTTCCAGACATGGTTGTAGCATATTTTCAGTTAGTGTGTGTATGTTATTAATGTATAATTGGTAGAACAAAGTTACATTTTTAAAACTTCTACTTGTATAAATATTTCCCTTTTCTCAGATTCTGTGGGTTTTGTGCATAGTTTTTACAAATCTTGGATTTACCAGACTGTCTTTTCACTGTGGGTTTTGTAGAAGTCGAGCATTTTTATGGTTGATAAAGTGTTACTTCTATACAAGTACTCACTCCTTCCTTCTTATCAAAAGTTAGTTTTACTCTCACATTGTGCTACATTCTCCTGCTTCTCTGTAACACTGTGTGGCCTGACACCCTTTTGTATGATAACTAGACAGTCAGTGGACATTGAACTGGTAGTTCTATACGGTCCAAAGCACACATTAACTTTTGAAGGCGATGTGCTAGGTGTTCAGTGGAGACATCTAACTTCCCTGTGGGAACGGACTGGGTACACCTGAGAATGAGTAAGTCTAGGGCTCTGCAGTAGGAGACCCTTCATAAGGCACTAGAAACTCAACCTGAAAACGAAGCATTTATTTTTGAGAAATGTCTTGAGTCACACTCATTAAGTCGCAAATGGTATTTTTTTAATTGGAAAAAATTAATGTGTGATGCTTATGTGGTAAATATGAATAAAGGGTATATGAAAAAGTTAACGTATTTGAAAACATGGCTATATTAGAAGGGAATTTGTATCATTTATCATACATGTAACAGGATTACAAAAAAGTAGAAACATGAATTGTTCCAAGGCAATGCTAGTCTGTATTTTGATGTATATGGACTATATCAGGGTGAACCAACATTAACACAAAATTTAGAGTTTATTAACTAAAGGGTAACATTTCTAAGATCTTAAATTTTAGGTCAGTTGGTGGTTTTTCAATAGGTAGATTTGTCCTTATGTTTTAAAATTACATGAATATGGAAAAATGACTTATTACCAGTGCTTGTGTGTGACAGGAATTGTATGTCTTGACCTCTCAGACAGTTGTTTTCATCTGTACATAAAAAATCTGAATTATTTCAGTAACTGGATTTTTGCTTTTGCAAGGTCTTAAAATAGAGCTGTTTTGAGGGAACTCTGCTATATCACTCGTATGTTTTGTCCATAATAGAGTTTTGGACTGATTTATTCTAGTTAAGCTGTAAGTGTTGATGTGTAAACTTGTTTTGATTAAAGAATTTTTCTATCAAACTCTACTAAATTACTTCCTTATTCTTTTTAGAAGAGTAAAAGGAATTCTGGATTTCCTGCTGAGGAAATTAATTTCTTTGTTAATTTAGTCATTGAGATGCTGTTTGGGGATAGATACAGGATTAACTAAATACTAAGCTCAAGATGGTAAAAACAGGAAATGCTATTTCCTTTTTTTCCTGTGACCCAAGAAACCACAAACTAGACCACTTCTGGGTATATTGGCAGCATTGTGGTAATTTATGACTGCTTGCATCAGATGACTGATGTTCTCTTAAAGCATAGCTGCCTTTAATCTTAATTTTTCCTTGTCATAAGCTAATTTAGATACCAGAACTCATAAAATTTCTTATGAATTATCAACTTTAGGGCATATTGGCTCAATTGCTATATTTGGTTATGAATTCACATCTGAACAAATCAGTGAAATATAGCTAGTTCCCCCCAAAAATATATACAAGTATATAATATGAATGCATGAGCACACTTTTTTAGTGCACTTTGATGTTTGGGTAGTGGGTTTGTTTTTTTTTAAGAGAAGTTTTGATTGATTGAAGACCACCTGAACCTGAGAACCTGGCTGGGAACAATTCGGCCAGAGTACCTAAAGCCTTCCAATTGCTGTTATAGCTAGTGATTTCAAGTAGTGTTCCCAATTTTTGGTTATGCAGTGATAACATCATATGTGTACGAAGTGTGCTCCTACTCACAGCCACTTACCTGGTTGAAGGTCTGAGGTCTGCCATTGGATCCATGCAGAGCTGAGGCTCCCTAGCTCTGGGAGGCATCCTGAACAAGTTTTGCCCTCTCTACTGAAAATAGCGAACCTGTTTCTTAACATTCCTAAGGAATGGAGCTACTATAACAGAAGGAATGTGCTTGTATTTGTGTTGTATAACAGATGGTGGTAGAGATGCCTGACCGTGCTACAGGAAAACTGGAATTTCTAATTATCCTTAAAGGATTCTGATCTTGTGCGTGCATCTACTGTTAACATCAACATTAATTCATTTCTAACTACACAGGATGTTCATGGAGACATTTGTGATGACACTTTCATATCTGCTTTTCTTCATTGGATAAAATGATACAAGTAATTTTACAGTTCTAGTGTAATAAATTTAAATGGGTGTTTAAGAAACTGTCTGGGATCAGGAATTTCCTAGCTCCAAAACATACAAAGTTGGGAATTTCTTCACATTGGTGGGATACCCAAGTAACTGATGAGTAACACACTAGCAAATTGTGGTGGTCATCTGGTTAGCCTTTCCTCTCAGGTTCACCAGGATACAATAAGAGAATGGTATCTGAGGTTTTGGCAGAAAAGTTGACCTAAAGAACTAGCAGAGTAACATTCTCAGTGATGAAACAAGAATCCCAGCGCAGTGCTGCTTCACTGATGTTTGTCTTTGTCCACTACAGTAACTTGAGCAGAAGCATACATGAGATCATTCTTTATGAGAAACAGCTTTCTGGGATGTTCTGCTGTGATAGCATGAAATGAAAGTGAATCAAAGTAAACAGATCTTTGCATATTAATGCCAGATATAACAGTATTACAATGCAGTATAAAAAATAAAGGAAACAAAAGTGAGTTTTACCTGTGGACTTTTAGGAACTGGGTAAATCACTCTCTTAAGTCTGATTTTGTGGCAGGATTTTGAGAACTAGGGCACAATGTAAGGCAGTCCTGGAGGGGCCTCTTATCCTAGCTCCGTATGCTGATCGTTGTACTAAATTGGTGAATTAAAATATCACTAGACATACCAGAAACTGAGACTTGTAATTTCCATGTCAATCGACTTAATTGGACATGTGCCATGTTAAGTCCATGAGACGTCCTTCACTGTCAATCTTTTAAACAAACAGTCTTACAGGCTTCTTAAGTTTTTTTTTATTGACATGGTAAGTGTCTGTTCTTAGGCATCCAGAGAGATACGGAATTCAGTTGAATTTCAAAAATAACCTAGGAGAGAGAGAGTGAAATTTAAAATTATTTTATAGCATTGCTAAAACCTTTAACAGCCAGGCATGGTGATTCACACCAGTAATCCCAGCATTTGGGAAGCCGAGGCAGGATTACTGTGAGTTCAAGACCAGCCTGAACTACATAGCGACACCCTGGCTCCAAAACAAAGGTTTCCAGAAAATATTTCCATAAGGAAATTTATTAAAAATTAGAACTTTGGGCTGGGGATTTAGCTCAGTGGTTCTGGCACCTGCCTCAAAAGTGCAAGGTCCCAAGTTTGATCCCCGGTGCCAAAAAGAAAAAAAAAAAAATTGAAACTTTCCTTTTTTTCTCTGGTCGAGAAGGAAGAGTATAGCTAGGGTGATGATAGTAAGAGGACCAGACGAACAGAGCAGCTGGGTCAGCACACAGCATTTCCCTTTCTGCTTATAGAACATGGTTACATACTCAGCAGGTTAATACCCAAGAATAAGTGATCGGGAGCTAGCAGTCTGTAGGATCTTGATTTTTCCACATTTTGTAATATATAAAATGTTTTCTTTTAATCATATTGACATTTTAAATTTGGTATGTGTGATACATAAAGTTTTGTCAGTGAGGCTTCATTTTAAGTATAATTTTTGTGAAGGTAGATGTATATACTCAAGATCTTTTTACATCCATTAAGAATGTCTTGGATGTCTAGGTTCTATCAAAACAAAACCTAAATTACAAAAGATCCCACTATAAGATTAAATTATACAACAGCTATTCTTAATCTTACTCATGAAATAATTTACTGCTGTTTACATATTCTCCCTAATTTTTATTACAGCCATTTGAAGGATCTTTACCTTAGGAAGAAGCGTCATAGTAGAAGGTGTAGCTCTCACTCTTCAAACATTTTTTTCAAAACACTTCCACCACCACTTGACGAGTCATTAATTGAACTGTCATTAGCAAAAATCACTTAGGATACAGAATCAACATATAAAATGACGTATATTTCATTTCCATAACTCTATAAATTAATTCACTTAAAATGAGCAAAAAGCAAATAAAAATAAAGTGGAATAAATAACTAAATTTAATATACTTATGTTGGGCCAGGGATTAGCTCAGTGGTGCCGCCGTGTGCCTCGAAAGCGCACAAGGTCCAGAGCTCGATCCCCGGTACCCCCCCCCCATAAAAATATATATATATATATATATATTTACACACACTTATGAATTGTTGGACCTTTTTTAATTAAAAGTTCCAGGATCAACATAAGGATAAGCAAGGAATTCCCCTAGTTTGTTGCCTTCTGAATCATAATGGAGCATTCGGAAGCAAACATCACAAAAGAAACATGGATCCTCTGGTGCAAAACTGTCATTGTTCGTCACCCATCTGTAGTTTTTAAGAAAAGAAGTACATCATTACAATTAAGTTTTTCCATGCTGCTATTATCCACAACCTGTAGCAATAGGTTACACAGCATTCACACTTCCATCCTATCGGTGTGCATTAATACATGGTAACAGTACACTGTGGAACACTGTAAGACTGCCTTCCTCTTAAATACAGTATAAGTAATCTAAATCTGTACCTGACAGCAACCTACCTACATTTGCCATGGCATAACTGACCTCCAAGTAGGATATAGTTATTTTCTTCTAATAGGCAATCTTGAAAACTCCTAATAAAAGTAATTGCTATAGGCCTAATACACTTCTAATACAGGCCTAATACAGGTTTTTATAAAATTTCATTCATTTGATGGATAATATTCACATTTATAGGGTATAATACATAAAATACAATATTCTAATACATGTATCAGTGCATAATGAGCAAGCGAGAGTACTGTTTGTATCTCAAACGGTCATTTCCCAAATGTGTTAAGGAATCTTCAGACTTCTAGTTATTTTGAAATATATCAAATTGTTCTAAAACTAGTTGCCTTACTGTGCTGTGGAAAAACATTTGGAACACTTCAAAAAATGTCAATGTCATTCTCATGCAGGGACCATGCTGACCTCGGTAACGGCTTGCACTTAGTATACGTGCTGCCAAAGTGAGCACTAATCATCTGGCTCTAGTGGTTAACTTGAAACACATCTGTTTTAAACATGCAGAGCTGAGACTAAAATCTTAGAACCTACAGTGTGAATGGAACTATAGGCAATGTTTTTCATCTGAGATTGTTTTGGACCCAAGATGATGTCATAGTAAGTTGAAAATATTTTCCAGTCTAACTGAATGAACTCTGTTATTTCATGGGAGGTTTGCTTTTAGCATCCCTTGATTTTCATTTTGAAAGGCTTGACCCTACGGAAAAGTATACTGTGGTAGGGAGCCCAAAACAAACTGAAGACACTAAACTCCTTCCTATTCCACTGAGTAGTTTCCAAAAACTTTTTGTCTCTGACCTACAGTAAGAAAAACTTTATAATCTAAACATGCAGAATTATATAAAGGAAAAACTTTCTTAAAATATCCTGACCTCATTGCATATGATGTGGTAGGTTATTCTTGCACTGAGGAAAAGCTGTGGGAAAGCTGGTTTTGTAAATCACAGGCAAGAAGCACAATGAACATGGCTCCCTAAGCACCATTTCAGCCCTTTAGTCCGACCTAGCCTTAGATTTCTGTGTATGTATTTCCTTGCTTAAAAAGAGTAATTTGGCTGGGCATGGTGGTGTATAACTAATCCCAGCACTCAGGAAGCTGAGGCAGGAGGATCTCCGTGAGTTCAAGGACAGCCTAAACTATACAGTGAGATCGTCTCAAAAAAAAAAACACAAAACACCCCACTAATTTGGCAGGAATGAATGCTTAGTATGTGGAAAGCCCCTGGGTGGGGGGGGTGTTTCAGTCACAAAGCCAAATCAAAACCCACTAGCTTTACCCCACTGAACACTTTGCAGCACTATGCTACTATTTACAAACCAAAGTACAAGTCCTTAGATCCAAAATGGAAAACAAATGCCAAAATACTTAATAACCAAAAACCAATACTTCTCACGGAAAAAATAAATATCACTTACCTAGCTGTGTACATTTTACAAACAAAACATTTTCTAGTCCACAACCAGTGTTTCTTGATAAGAAGAGGATACAGTGTTCTATCCAAGCAGTCGTCATGATGCACAAGCCTTTTGTTCAAGAGAAAATAAAATTTAGATTATTATGGTGCAAATTTCTATGATATATAAAGAATTAAACACATATTTAACATTAAGAACATAGTATATATTATTTTCAATTTTTGCTCATAAAAAATTTAGGTAAGGGCCAGCCACACGTGGTGGTACAAATCTGTAATCCCAGCATTTGGGAGGCCAAGGCAGGATGATCCCTGCAAGTTCAAGGCCAGCCTGGGCTACACGGTGAGTTCGAGGCCAGCCTGAAGTACATAGTGAGACCTGTCTCAACAAAACAAAGCCAGATTTAAGTAAACTGACTTGTCAGGTAAGGTTTTGCCAAACTGTGTTCCCAAATTCTTTCTACAAAGAACATTTAGGATTAAACAAAGACTTCCTGGTTCCCTTTATGGTGTGGGCACTGTGACCTAAGAGTATTCAGTGTTTATTGATGTAATCCATCAGAAAATCCTTGCTTTACTGAACACTTAGTACCATGTGGAACACAGTCTGAGCAAGACTACTCAGTGATATTTCACCTAGATTGACTAGTGGTTACATGGATCTTGCTTTTCTTGTCACCTTTACTAAAAACCTAAATCTAGTTTCTCATGAATTTGTAGGGCTTTAATTGGAGATGTCAGAATTACAAAACAAGTTTTAAGAAACAAGTGAAAGTCACTCTCCACTCCCACTCATCAGCTGCAGGTTTTGGGGTAAATTCCTTAAACCATGAGAGGACTGCACAAGTTGATCCTAAAGGGCCCTGTCGAGCCTATACTTTGGTTTCTTTTTTTATAAGAAAGGGTAGCAGGGGCCGGGCATTTAGCTCAGTGGTTCTGCCGCCTGCCTCGCAAGCACAAGGTCCTGAGTTTGATCCCCAGTACCAAAAATAAAATAGAGAAAGGGTAGCAATACACAAAACATTAAAAAAATGATTAAACTTTTGACAGTTGGTACTATAGGGTGGCATTGAATCATCAAATTTACCTAAAAGATGAAAATGACTTAAAACATTGCAAATTCTTTAACAAGTACAAGCTGCTTTTTCTTTAGCACTGACAGATAATTGTTTCTTTTGTTTACCACTGTATTAAGTTGTTTCCTCTTAAAGACTATGTTATATCCTTTAGCTTAACCAAGACCATCAGAGAAAAATGGATTATGCTCCTTTTTAAAACATTTTTTAACGGTGCCTTTTAAAGTAAAAACGTTCTTAAACTTACGTCCCGCTGTTGTTAATCTCTAGTGTCACACTGTCACCTCTTTAGTCCTAGCTTCCATTTCAGCAAATAACTCCCTATACTGTAGATTTTTTGGGGGGGGATACCAGGGATTGAACTAGGGATCTTGCGCTTTCGAGGCAGGCGCCAGAACCACTGAGGTAAACAACTCCCTATACTAACTTCCTTCTGGCTTAAGAACTACAGGTTTTTATTTGGGTGAGGTACATTCCACCTGTGTCTAATCTGCCAAGAGTCCCTATCACGAGGGGAGGCTGAATTTCATCTAGTGCACTGTATGTGTCTGTTGAGAGGTTAGTATGGTTTCATCCATTTATGTACATTGGATTATCCTTGCGTCCTTAGTGTGACTCTCGCTTGGCTGTGGTAAGTGATTTTATTAATGTGCTGTTGAATTTGCATTGATAATGTTTTGTTGAGGATTTCTGCAGCTGTGGTATGTTCATCAGGGACACTGCCTTACAGTTTTTTTGTTGTTGTTGTTACTGCTGTGTCCTTATCTGGCTTTGATATCAGTGTATTACCGGCATGATAGAATGAGTTTGGAAGGATTCCTTCCTCTTCAGTCTTTTGAACAGTTTGAGAACTGGTATTAATTCTTCTTTAAATTTTGGTAGAGAACAGCAGTGAAGCCACTTAGGTTCTGGGCTTTACTTTAAGGGAGACTTTTTAGTTTTATTTTTTGTGGGTGCTAGAGACCAAACCTAGGATCTCAGTCATGCTAGATAAGCTACTGCTGAGCTATAGCCCCACCCCCAGCCCCCTTCCACACTGTTTGTGACACAGGCACGTTCTTCTTCATTTCAATGGAAAAACAGGCAGAATGGATTATATAAAATGTAGTAACATTACAGAGACATCAATGTACTATAGATGGTCTTAAAGGTCATATAAACCTGAGATTTATCAGCTCTCCTGGTTCTTGCCTCACCATTCTTCTCAGTAAGTAGCCCAGGCTGGCCTTGAACTTGTAATCCTTCTGCCTCATGCTCCTCAAGGGTTGGGCTTAGGTGCATGCATGACCAGGCCCAGCTTGTTTTTAACTTTACAAAACAAAAAAACTTATTCAACTTCCTTCTATAGAATAATTTTGATTGAATGTTTAATGTTTAAATTATGACAAATTAATTCTTCCACCTAAGCCATACTATTGAGTACTCTTTCCTTTTACTGTGTAACATTTTCTTTTTTTAGCTATTAATCTCTCCGGTTTGCAGTTACTTAATTTGCAGCGCACCTGTCAATGGTTCAGCTATTTTCTGACTGAACAGCCATAGGGGTTAAACATGGGCAGGAGGCCTTGGCTCTGACTTTCTCCCCAGATATTCTTTCCAAGTCTGTCTGTACATGTTGTCTGGGTCTGATAAATAGCCTTCATATCGGGACTTCACTTTCCCATCATTCTGAGAGGGCTTGTCCTATTGCCTCTTCTGCATCACACCATCTTCATCACAATTTGCTCTGTGTGTGAAGTACTTCCTGTGGTAGCTTCCTAACAATAATTGTATAGAGGATATAAAAGTTTCGAGACTGGCCATAAAGAACCAAAAATGAAAGTTAAGGACTTTCTAAAAGCATCAGTTTCTATTACTGGTATAATAAAAACATTGTTGTATCACTAAAAACTTCTAATGGTGGGCCGGAGATTTAGCTCAGTGGTTTCGCCGCCTGCTGCGCAAGCGCAAGCACCCAAGTTCGATCCCCGGTACCAAAAAAACAAACTTCTAATGGTCTTTCAGAACGAATCCAGAAATAACAGCAGAGTTTATTCCTACATATTGGTCCTTCTTAAATGAAGATTTCCTAATAAGGGAATGAATAGAGCCTTACTAGTGAAAAAGAGCTATTACCTCTACAAAATATTGAGCTAACAACCAAAACCTGTTACACTATTTATCCCCTTCCCAATTTTAACCTTTATCAAAGCATTTAAGAATTCACATTTGTCAAACATTAATTTTCTTTCTTCAGTTCTCAGTGCTGCCACCTACCTTATGTCTGTAATGACAACAACATGTTCACAGTCTCCCTGGTGACAGTATAAATAAGGAAAACCCAGTTTAATGTTCAGGTCATTGAAGGTAAAATCTTCCATTCTAGCCGTCTGAAACTTTCCATAGCCTCTATCATGAGCCTCTGACCACTCAATGATAGTTCTGAGGGGAGAAAAAGGCAAGATCTGTCACTGCACCACAAAAACTTATGTAAAAATCAGAGTTTGTGACTGCAGTATTTTACATAATCTGGCTGGCCTAACCTGCTAAGTACTGTCTTGATGGGAACACCATATTGGTTTGTGCATTCTGCAATTGGGAACACTGAATTTTTCTTCATATATCAGAGTAGCAGTTCTCAAAGTGTGGTCCTTGACATCAAAATTATCTTTGCAATACTATCCTGCCCCTTCCAACTCTGATCACAATAAATCTGTTTTTCGTGCCTAGTTAGCTTGAATGCAAAATATTTAACAATACACTCATTTTACTTTGGACATTTTTCACAAAGATGTTAATGTCCTGAGATTAAACAAATATATTTGTGTTAATTACTAATATGACAAGTATTAACAACTAAATCCCACATAAGGCGTCCTCAGAGTCTTCTATTATACTATTAAAGAGGTCAAGACCAAGTAAAAAACAGCTGGATTAGAATATAAATTTTAAATGGCCATAAAGAAAACATTTTTATATAAGCACTCAAAAATATATATGTGTGTATATACTCCTTGTGAGGCCACTTTTCTATGTGATCCACCTAAACAACACTGTATGTCCATTCACCCAGGAAAACAATTGCATACACCAAACAAGCAGAAAAAACAGTGAAAAATTAATTTACCACTATCACCTAAATATAAAGACCAGAGATTAATAAGTATTTAATTTTTTAGATGCATGTAATTCCTTGGCAAAGATCTTTAATAATAATGATATTTGTGGAGATATCACTACCTTAAGAAACAGAAATATTAAATACTTTGGGAAATTTTCTGGAAACTATACCTGCTCAAATCTCTGCATTCTGGGTATCTTTTATCATTGTAAAATGCTCCTTCAAAATAAAAGAAGGCAGATTTGTATAGGTCCTACAACAAAACATACAATATTGAGAGACAGTCTGCTCTTAACAATTAGGAAATTACTCTTAACCATTCAAAATTTATAACAGCATAAAATCACAGTAGTATTGTTCTAGTCACTCTGTGGAACTTCAGAGAATCTACACAGCCCATAAATATATAATTTTGCCAGGTGTGCTGGTGGATGCCTGTAATCCTGGCACCTCCAGTCACAGCCACCTGGAGCTACATAAGGCCAGCCTCAACTACAAAGTGAGACCCTGTCTCCAAAAAAAGTCTAGGGCCAGGGATTTAGCTCAGTGGTTCCGCCAACCACTGCGCAAGCGTGAGGACCCAAGTTTGATCCCTGGTACCAAAAAAAAAAAAGTCTAAAATTCAATAAGCACCTACTATATGCCACGTGTTATAAAGACAAAGACATGACATCTGTGACTATTTTCAATTTTATACTCTTTCTTCCCTCCCCCCTCGTGTGTGTGTTTGGTTTATTTTTTTGATGGTACCAGGGATTGACCTCGGGACCTTGTGCTTTCGAGGCAGGTGACAGAACCACTGAGCTAAATGCCCAACCCTCTCTCTCTCTCTTTTTTTTGGAGGGGTACTGGGGATGGAACTCAGGTCCTTATGCATGCAGGGCAGGTGGTGGCACCACTGAGCTAAATCCCTGGCCCTACTATTTCTTTTAATCACTAGGTTGAATTTAAATCTGTTCTGAGATTTATGAAAGGAATTCAATTACAATTCAAATAAACATCAGTGTTATTTTATAATATGTATGGAGAGTAACTGTCACAGTTACTTTGTGTACAGAACTAAAAACAAAGTCATATCTTTGATGTTTCTACAGTAATAATAAAGATAACTGAGTTATTTATTTTGGCATTTCAAAAAAACTTCTTTCACCCCCCATAGTACAGGACATTGGACCTCCCAGGCACCTACTTCTGAACTGTCCACCCCACCCAGCCCTCACATGTGTACAGAATTTGTCTTTAATTTTCAGTAACTCTCAGGCAGACAGAACTTAAGCAGTTTTACCCCAGGTATCACAGTAGTAGGCACAACTGGTCTCAATCTTCAGACTTTCCATCAATCAACACTCACTGCAGCACAGAGTCACACAACACCAAGCACCTACTCTCATCTCAGACTAAATCAGAACCTCTGCGGACGTGACCCAAGCCTTTAATATTTTCTCAAATCTCTATAGGAAAAGTATGCAACTAGACTCGAGAACTATTCTGTTGGACTTCTCCTTCACTCCTTTTTAATAGCAGAACATTTATTGGTACATTTAAGCATACGTAATGATAACACTCATCACTGGGAATCTGCACCTGTACACAGGATATCCCGCCCTTTTCCCCATCCCCGCTCCATTGTGTACACGGTGTTGAATACAGCACAAAGAAACTGACTTTCACCCTGATGACACGTTTTATACCACTTAAATGAGTAGTCAAATCAAAAAAATGCAAAACTGGTGAGGAATTTCTCACCTTCGGTTCCTCAATTCCATAAGTGACAGTATGATCTCACAATTCAGTCTTTTCAGCACTTTACTCCAGTTTGGCCACCTCATTTCAGAAAAGTGAATGCTGTCCCCATAATCAGCACCCTTACTCTTAAGGACCTCGTGGAATTAGCGATGATTCGATCCCCAGAACTTCATGAAATTCACAGCTTTGATGATTGGCATAACATCCTTTTGTTGCTGTTTTTATGAGACAGGGTCTCTCTACATAGTTCAGGCTAGTCTTCAACTCACTATTTGAACTCATGGCGATTCTCCTGCCTCAACCTCCTGAGTGCTAGAATTATGGGTATGCACCACCACACCTACCTCCCACCACATCCATTTTTAAAGCTTTCTCACATAAATTTCCTTGATATATGATGCAGCACTATTTTATTAAATGTGACTTGCCAGCAACAAATGCATCATCTCTTATTAATTTATAAATCCCTCTTTTTTTCTTTCTTTTTTTTTTTTTGAGGCAAGGTTTCACTCTGTAGTTCAAGCTGGCCTTGAACTCACTATGTAGCCCAGGCTAGCCTGGATCTCGAAGAGATCCTCCTGCCTCAGCCTCCTGAGTGCTGGGATTATAGGCATGTGCCACCATACCCAGTTTAAATCCCTCTTCTTTACCAACCATCACAGGGTACCACTGTAGCTATACCAGATATGTTGACAAAGTCTGAAGAAAATCACTGTTATTTTTACTGCTTCATACAAATGAAGAGATTTAGTTGTATTTTAACAGCATCAAAGAAGCCATTTCTTCAGTGATAACTATATTCATAATCTGTAATACTGCTAATTAAAAACAAGTTGAACCACATCTGTCACGTCAGCACTTTCATCTATTGCCAAAGAATAAAGTTTGAAATTAGCAGTTTCACTCTTAAAATCTTTTTCAGTAGATTTCCCCATTTCCTCAATTCATCTGGCTATAGCCTGGTGAGACAAACTGATTTAGAAAATTAAGCAAGGGTGCCTTATTTCTCTCAACAAAAAAAGCACTCATCCATTTTTCACTGGACTCTTCCTTCTTCCATTTTTCTTTTTTTGAGTTGTTTTAAGATGATGATGAAACCATTCTGTGATTCCAGCATGCTGAAAGGCTGAAGCAGGAGGATCACAAGTTCAAGACCAGCCTGGGCAACTCAGCAAGATCCCGAGGGCTTGTTCTTTACCTATGTGAGGGAAAACTCTGCAGCTGCCACATGCCTCACCTCAGCACCTGCCTGTAGTCTGGAGAACTATCCCAGTGAAGGCTGCTTTAAAATCAGGAAATTAAATAAATAAAATCAGGAAATAAGCCAGTGTGGAGGCACACACCTATAGTCCCAGCACTCGGGAGGCTGAGGCAGGAGGATCACCAAGCATTCAAGACCAGCTTGGACGGCACAGCGAGGCCCTGCTGGATGTCCGGAGTTCGAGTTCGTGTTCTCTAAAATCGAAGAATGAATTCTAGGAGCAATGGAGGTTAAGAGTACGAAAAATGTATCGAGAGAAAGACAGCTTCTAAGAGAGACAGAAGGGGACTGGAAAGTGGGCTACCTGTCCTTCTCTCTTTAGAAACAGACTCCTGAATGAGGGTCAGAAATGTGCTTTCTCTTCCTTAACCTTCAGCTTACTAGCTATTTTGTTGGTGGCAGTGGGAATCTACTTAGGGCCTTCACAGTGAATTACACCCCAAACCTTTTAAAATTTATTTTGAGATAGTCTCACTATGTTGCTCAGGCAAGGCTTGAACTTGTTGTGCTCTTCCTGCCTCAGCCTCCCAGAGTGCTGTGATTACAGGCTTGAGCCACCAGTCCCACCCAGTTAACTAGCTTTGGCTCTGAGTATGTAACAATTTTTTTCTCAGACCTGTTTCCCCACCTGGAAAGTGAGAATACCATATCCACCATGGTACCTTAGAGGACTGCAGTGAAAATAAAAAACAATGATTTATTTTTTTAAAATCTTAAGTTTCAGATATCAAATAATTTTTCCATAATATTATAATTTCTCTCTTCTTTGAAGCTATTTTTCTTTCTTATCTTTTTTCTTATATTTACAAATTATCTTATGTCTTACTCCTGTAAGACAGTTGTGCTGTTCACCTTGGACAGGTCACTGTATCTCACTAAACTGTTTCCTCACATAAATATGAGGAAAGCCATTACATTCTGCACAGGTGGTTGTGGAGATAAAGATATAATGGCCAGGCATGGTGGCACACACCTGTAATCCCAGCACTCAGGAGGCTGAGGCAGGAAGATCACTGAGAGTTTGAGGCCAGTCTGGGATACACAGTGAGTTCAAGACCAGCCTGAACTACACAGTGAAACCCTGACTCAAAACAAACAAATAAAAGATATAATGTACTTATTAACGCCACATATGGCTGCTACAACACAAGAACTATCACTCAATATACTTCTAAACCTTTAAAGTAGTAAGCTGGAGTCTTAAAATAGAGATTTGTGAAGAATACTGCCTTAATTGGGGGGAGGGGTAGTGTATATAAAATTTTGTTCATTCAAAACACTTCTATAGCACATCATATTAAGTGATTTAAGCAACTTAATGCTTATTGACATCATTATTACAAAGTGAAGTCTAAAAGAATAAAAATGGGTTATCTAAATGGCATCCATTAGTAACAGCATAGAAATGGGTAATATAGAAGATATGACTGATCTCAGTGACAGTTTTAATTTCCAATGCTAACTAGAGACTAGTTTCCCTATTTTATCAGTAACTCTGCTAGTTGAGCTGATCGACTTCCAGGAGAGAAAATAACCAACCAACATGGAAAATTAGTGAAGAAAGTTACTCCTGTTATTAATCTAATGTAATCAGAGTCTATGGTTACTATGTTCACTGTTTAAACAAAGTAACTACTAATCACTAGAATCATTTGACAGTCATTACTTACATGCAATTTACTGCACCTGCTAGTTACTTGCTTGAAAATACTCAAATCAGCTGTAACAGAACTTACCAGACATTTCTACCATCTGCTGTGATGCAAATGGCCCTCAGAGTCAAGTGCTGAAGAGGACTGCTTAATGGCATCTCTACAGCTTAGATTTATGTTACCTTTACCGAGGCTTTATAATAAGTAATAGAATACATGTGTTTTTTTCCTTAGGATTCCTCTAAGACCCTTAAGAGGTTGATAAAATAAAGGCTGAATAATTTGAGCAAAATAAAAACAATAGATCGATCAGACATTATAGCATGAAGGGCCATTAAAATATGTAATGTTTGAGACAGGGGTGGTGACTCATGCCTGTAATTCCAGTACTAAGGAGGATGCAGCAGAGGAACATAAGTTTGAAGCTAGTCTGGGCAACATAGCAAGACACTGTGTCAGAAACTAAAAAGAGCTCAGGGGTGGTGCACTTCTGGGCTCAGTCACTGGTACTGAGTACTGTGGGTCAGGGTGTGTGTGTACAGACAGACAGAGTGGAGGGAGGGAGACAGGGCAAACACCAGGATGCCACATATTTATGTTAAAAACACATTCCACTTTCTTCAGCCATGCCAAATATGGGTTCATTGACACCAGCTGCCTCCACCATGCCACCTGAGTTAGACCCCAGTAAGACCAAGGCAGGAGAATTGCAAGTTTGAGCCAGGCCAGGCAACTTGACTTCATGAGACCTTGTCTCAAAACAAAAACAAACAAAAAACCCAAAAAACACTGCATAAGGGCTGGGGATGTAGCTTACTATAAAGGGCCTGGGTTGACTCCCCAGTACTTACAAGAAAAAAAATCTGCAGAAGATTGCTTTTCCTTTGAAGCAAAGCTAAATTTATTTCTGCCGGGGTATAGTGGCACATGCCTTTGATCCCAGCACTCAGAAGGATGAGGCAGGAGGACGGCTGCAAGTTCAAGGCCAACCTGAGCTACATAGTTCAAGGCCACCCTAGACTACACAGTGAGCCCCATCTCAGAAAACCAAGACACACACACACAAAAATCTATTTCCTGGTCTGCATATAGTCTTGAAATTGCTTATTTATCATCTTGATTTCAAAAGCACTGAGATGGCAGCTCTAAAGAACCTAAATATCTTTTTCTTTGGTACTGGGAATCAAACTCGGGACCTTCTGCTCGCAAGGCAGGTGGTGGCACCACTGAGCTAAATCCCTGGCCCTAAAGAACCTAAATATCTTAACACCATTCTGAACATAACTGAAAAAATTTAAGTGAAATATGTGCCCGAGTAATGAAGCCAGGGTCTGTGTCAGTCTCGGATAAGACAAGAACAGCCAGCCTGTGGGCCAGACACTTGTCACACAGGGCCAGCCCCACTGCAGCATGGACTGTAACCTACACACAAAAGGCACCAGGGAAGCAAAGAGAGTACACTGAGCAACACTGTAGTAAGTAAGTTTTGAGCTGGGTTTGGAATGAATATGAACTCACCAGATCCATGAAGGAAGGAGAAGGGTGTCTGACTACACTGAAATCCCCAGAGGTAAAGTGTGGAATGTTTGAGGAAGATAACCACACAAATTCACTGTGACTCAAGCGTAAGGTGTAGAAGTGGGGGTGAGTAGTGTGGCGTGTTAACCTGGAAATCATTACAGAAGGCCTATATGTCAGACTAAGAAGGAAAATTTACCAGCCCTAAGAAAGGAACTAGCAAAAAAGGAGATTCTGTGGGTTTCTGTCTAAACTCTATCTTAGTTGCGCTAAACACCCTTTCACATATCTATAGGAAAGACAGCCCCTCTCCTGCTGTGGGTCAGACTCTGGGGTCCTCTGCCAGGACTGCATCAGGTAACACAACTACTCCAACCTTCCCTCAGCTGAGACTCGGAAGGATCAGGGCCTTCTGTTTGCACAGGGAAGCATCCTTTCTGACAGCTCTGGGCAGCAAGCCTGCCACTCTGCTCCTTCCCAAAGATATCACTGTACTGTAGAGAGCACCACACACCTGCAAAGGCCATCTCCATGCATAAGCTCCTTGTACTGTTTGGTCCTGGTCATGGTACTTCCTGCTCTTTCTATGCACAGTGAAAGGTGATGGAAGGGGGCTAACTTTACTGAGTATGTTGACTGACTCCAATCTTTTGCTGGTGGTAGTTTTGATAGAGTCTGAGAAAGGAGAGTGAACAATAAAGTCAAGAACTACAGTGAGGCTGGGGTGCAGCACAGTGGTAGAGCTCCTGCTCAGTATATGAAGCCTTGGGCTCAACCCCAGAACCCACTCTCCCAACTCCTCCAGTAAAGGTACAGTGAGGTCAGACTGTACGAAAATGGAAGAGACCAAGTAGACAGACAATTAGCTGGTCACCATTACCTAGGAAGGAGCAGAGTCCATAGAATGAGAAATAAATGAGAGGGGAAATGAAAATGGAGTACCGCCTCTGCCAAAAGCTGACTATAAAGGCGAGGAAGGCCAACAGTTTCGATGGACTTACAGGGAAGAGGCATGGACTGGAACCTGGTACACCTGCTTGCGTTACCACTATCTCCTTAGTTATTTCTTCCTTTCGTTTTATTTGGGGAGGGCCACCTTACCCTGCTGATGTGCTCAGGAGCTTGGTCAGGAGTGTTGCTGAATTCACCACCAATCTGGAGATCGCTGACGCAGCAAATGGCATCCCTCAGTTCTGTGAGCTTTTGGCTTCCCAATACCAGCACTGTCTGGTACGGCTTATGTTCTTTATGCTAAAAGTCAAACAGTAAATCAGTAAGTGTGTCCACTTCCAGACAAAGCAGTTAAACCGGAAATTCTATCAAGACCAGATCTAAATGAAGTTATTGATTTTATTAATAAATTGCCCTCATAATCGGTTGTTCTGTGTTGTTTTCCCAACATACAGTCAAACTGACCTAACATCCAGCTAACATACAACCACAGACAGACCTCATAAAGTGGCAGCAACTGCAGCACGATGCCACAGAGCGCATCTGTATCACTGAGAGCTCCAAAAGGCTCGCCAGCACTGCCATATGCCCTGACCCACGGGAATCATTCCGACTGAGCAGTCCTAACTGTTTACCCTGTCCCGCACTGCCTTTCCTGTTGGACCCTCCAAAAGGGTGTCGTCTTGTGTCTTTCCCTCTCCTCTCTGCTTCCACACTGAGACTGTGCATGTCCCCAGGGCCCTGTGCGGGGTGGCATGCACGCTCCTCTCAGGAACCCAAGTACAGTGATAACAACTATGGTGGCATTGACTTCTGTATCACTACTTGATCACCCTCACAAATTAAAATTCCATGGGCCGGGGATTTAGCTCAGTGGTTCTGCTGCCTGCCTCACAAGTGCAAGGTCCTGAGTTTGGATCCCTGATAACAAAAAAAAAGAAAATTCCATACATATAACTGAGATACTTGGTAAAAGAACCTTCGTAGTTTAAAGTGTACAATATGATGCCACTAAACTGACACTAGGACTAAGAGCTTTTGGGATATAACTTCACCCAGCAGCACTGACTTCTAAGGTTTCCTGAAAGTTACATCATCAAAGTCCACCAATCTATATCACATCCTAATGGTATGTACTCAAAGGTTCTTTTTCTGGCTTTTTTTTTTGATTGGTAATTTGAGATCTGAAACAAGGTAGTTAGTAGTAAGTAGGCCCCCAGAAAATTCATTAGTCTATTTACATGTAAATGGAATTTATGTATAGTAATGTTTCAGTCAGACCTCCTCAAAATTTAGGACACATCTGTTTAGGACATATACTTTCGGCTAGGCTATAATTCTTTTCATTTCATACGAAATTCCTGGGTCTGGGGATGTAGCTCAGCATAGAGCACTTCCCCAGCACTGCAAAAAAAACAAAAAAAACACACCTCCCTGGATAACTCTGACTTGTGAACTTTAGGGCACTTCATCTAAGGGCTGTCTTTAGTTAGTTCAGTACTATCCCAAGTACTCCAAATTGATGAACAAAGGTCACTCCATTCCTCTACCAGCCACCCATTTTGAAAAGAAGAAAAAAAAAACCCTAAAAAGTCCATAGAATTAGACTCATTCTGGATTTATATATACTTTCAGCTGCTTCTAGTATAGAAATCAAAGTATGTATTTCAGTATTATAACTGTAATCCTGTTGGTCAAGAGTTTAAAATTTGACCTTATTTCTGATATTCCTATGTAACCAAAGACTGTCAGCTCTAAAAGTTAAGATTTCCGATAGACAGTATATATGTGCATCTAGTTAAGGAATTAAAGCCTTTGGAGAAAGTTATTCATAAGCATTGGGACTTCAGCTCAGTGGTAAAGCATTTGTCTAGCACAGCTTGCATGAGGCCCTGAATTTGACCATAGCCCCCCAAAGATCATCTTATTATCCCGGAAAGCCTGAAGGTTTTACTACTTACCTTATGAAATATAATGGGATACAAGATATTCACAGATAGGATAAGCTCCCCCTCTTCAACCATGTCTGCTGGATTTTCAGGCTTCTTCCCCATTGCATGTGACTCCTGAAGAAAGAAAAATGACACCTTGAAATCAGACACTAATTTAGCTAAGAGGCTCTGTGGTATAATGGCTACTGGCAAGGGCTTGAATCAGACAGCTCTAGATTTGATGTCTAATTCTACCTTAGGAAAATTAAAACTTTCCTAAGCTTTAGCTTTATCTTTAAAAAAAAACAAACAGTGATTTTGTAACTGTTATGGGGAATGGGTACATGTATCATCTAATGAGGGATGGGTATACAGCTCAGTGGTAGAGCATTTCCCTAGCATGGGCAAGGCCTTGGATTTGATCCCTAGCACTTCAGATTCTGGGCTCTGAATAACACTAATTGGCTCCTTTTAAAAATGCTGTAGGGTTGGGGGCTGGGGATTTATTTAGCTCAGTGGTTCCGCCGCCTGCCTTATAAGCACAAGGACCTGAGTTCAATCCCTGGTACCAAAAAAAAAAGTTGCAGGGCCAGAGATTTAGCTCAGTGGTTTCGTCACCTGCTGCGCAACTGCAAGGATCCGAGTTTGATCCCTGAAGGACCCGAGTTCGATCCCTGGTACCAAAAAAAAATAAAAATGTTGCACCATCATTTATCCTGATAAGGTCCTTGGAGCTTGGCAGATACTGCCAAGTGCTGAGAGTACAGAGGTGTTCAGCAGTGTAAACACAGACTAACTGCAATTACTTCACCTATTTAGGAAGGCAGTACTTTCAGTGTTTTATCTCAGTTCATGTACAGCTGCCCCAATTATACCCTTCAGAGTCATGTGTACCGCACCTTGGATGACCCAAGGAACTTATGCATTAACAAATAAGTGTTCTGGGCCGGACATTTAGCTCAGTGGTTTCGTTGCCTGCTGTGCAAGCGCAAGGACCTGAGTTTGATCCCCGGTACCAAAAACAAAACAAAACAAAACAAATAAGTGTTCTATATGTATATAGTGACTGCTCTGTACTGAGAGAACATTTGGACTTTCAGGTGTGCTTAAATAAACTTATGACTCTGGGGGAAACAGGTGTGCTTAATTGCTAGAAAAGCTGAGCATAGTTTTTTACCTTTTATTCTTAAGATTTAAATTATAATTTCAAAAAGTTTTAAAACAGAACATTCGAGTATGTAAAAAAAGTATGAATAACTTGAAATGCCAGTGTATGTCATTATTAGTCAATTGTTCCTGTTTTATCCTCAGTGGCTAAGCACTTCATGCTGATTATCCCATTAGATTTTTTTTTTCCAGTGCTGGGGATCAAATCCAAGGCCTTGTCCATGCTAGGCAAATGCTCCACCACTGAGCTACACACCCATCCCTCATTAGATGATATATGTACACATTCCCTGCAAGTTACAAAATCAGTAATTTGTTGTTTTTTGTTTTTTTTTTACAGAAGTTGAAGCTAAAGCTTAGAGAAGTAAAAGTCTGGAACAGGCACAGGCAGTGCTAACCCTCAGCAAGAAAAGCACACTTGCAATGTTCCAACAAAACCTATAAAACAGCAGACAGGAAATTATGGCCCATTCATAGGAAAATAAGAATTTGACAGAAACTCACACTGAAGAAGCCCAAACACTGAAATTACTAGTAAAAGAGGTTCATTAATTATTCCTAATTATTCCTACTTGTTTGCAAAAGCGAGATTCACAAATTACTCTCAACTCTTTCAATGTGTTCAGTGAGCTCAAAGAAACCATAAATAACTACAGGAAATCAGATTCCTCAACAAACTTACGAGCATATTTCTTATCAGAAATCAAGAGACAAGAAATGAGTGAGATGACACACATAAAGCCATGAAAGAGAACACTGTTGTCCCAGAAATGTGGCAAAGGCATGGTGGCACACACCTGTAATCCCAGCATTCTGGGAGGATCACTACAAGTTCAAGGCTAGCCTGGGCTACAAAGTGAGTTTAAGGCCAGCCTGGATGAATTCTGGCAAAACTATCTTTCAAGAATGAAAGAGAAATTGAGACATTTTCAGATAAACAAAAGCTGGAAGGAGCTGAGCATGATGTAATCTCAAATTGGGAGGCTGAGGCAGGGAGATCACTGCAAGTTCAAGGCCAGCCTATGCTTCTCAGTGAGTTCAGGGCCAGCCTAGCTTGAACTACATAGCAAGACCTTGTCTCAAAAGAAAAAAAGAAAAAAAAATACCTGAATGAGTTCATTACCAACCAATGTGCCTTATAAGAAATGGTAGTGGGCCGGGGATTTAGCTCAGAGGTTTCGCCACCTGCTGCGCAAGCGCAAGGACCCGAGTTCGATATCCGATACCAAAAAAAAAAAAAGAAATGGTAGAGTTCTTCCCAATAACTTGAAGCCAAAAGAAGAAATAAAGAACACCAATAAATGTAATTACATAACATGTATAAATATCAGGTTTTTTTGGTTCATAACTCCTCCATTTTTTCTATATATTAAAAACAAATGGATAAAACAGTGTTTATAACAGACGTATGCTAAGGAACCCACAATAAATAAAGATGTAATCTGTAATAACAATATATAGAGGGAGCTAGACATGGTGGCGCATGTCTATCATCCCAGCTTTCAGGAGGCTGAAGCATACAAACTGGAGGTCAGCCTGGGCTACACAGTGTGAGTTCAAGGCCAGCCTGAACTATATAGCGAGACCCTGTCTCAAAAAAAATATAAAATGAGAAAGACAATAAAGGAGTAGAGAGTCTGTATACTACTGAAATAAACTTGAGCCAGATGTGGTGTCCTGTGCCTGTTATGCCAGCACTTTGGAGGCTGAAGCAGGAAGATCAGGAATTTGAGGTCAGCCTGGACCACACAGCAAGCTCACAGTTAGCCTGTACTACAAGATGAGACACTGTCTCAAACAAGGAGGGGGGAAAGAAGAAAGGAAAGGAGGGAGGAAGGGAATGAGGAGGACGAGGAGGAGGAGGGGGAAAGAGGAGAAAAGGAAGAACAGGAGGGGGAGGAGAAGTGGCAGCAGCAACACTTAAGAGATAAATTTAACTGCTATGGCTTGGATATGGTCCACATGTCTCCCAAACGTGCATCTGCTGGAAACTTGGTCCCTTGGGTGACAGCACTGGGAAGTGCTGTGGAGCCATTACAAGGTGGGGTTAAGAGGAGGTCCTTAAGGCAGCTGAGGGTGTGATGTGGAAAGGGATTAGAGTATCTCTTGTGGGACCCTGGATAGCGTTCGTGAGAGGATTGTTAGAAATCCCTGAGCTTGCCCCATTCAGCCTCGCTCTTGCTTCCTGTCTGGAGAAGTAAACACTTACTCTAGCACATGCTCCCACCCCTGTATTCAACCATTATGAGATCCAGCCAAAAGGGCCCACTCTAGAACCCAGCCATGCCCTCGACCCTCCATTTCTGCAAGCTAAACAGAATTCATTTCTTTGTAACATTAGTTTGTCTCAAGTATACTTCTATGGAAATGAAAAGCCAAATAATGCACTGGCCAAGCAAATAAAAGATTTGAACACCAAAAACTATAAAACACTGCTGAAACAAAGTAAAGACCTAAATAAAGGGATAGACATCTCCTCCTTGTTCCTAGATTAGAAGACTCAGTATCGTTAAGATGTCAATACCAGGTTTTTCCCTGGTTTCCACCCCCGCCAGGGAAAGACACAACCCAAAAAGAACTACAGGCCAATCTCCCTAATGAACATAGATGCAAAAATCCTCAACAAGTTACTGGAAAACAGAATACCGAGGATCATCAAGAAGATCATACACCCTGACCAAGTCAGATTTATCCCAGGGATGCA